ATCGATGGAAATGTATTACTTCAAAGTAATTTATCATAAAGGGGTTCAGTGTGGTTTAAAGTACATAAATTATCATAGTTTTAAGTGTCATGTTGACGTCCCTAGTTATTGTTAGTAATATTTTCCTGTTAGAATGGAACAAAATAATTTTAAAAGTCAATGTTATGTACTGGATTAATTGATTTAATAAAATACAGTGAAATCTACTTTGCTTGAACTTATGAGGTTTACAACAACGATAGCTTTGTAAGAAGGTTTTAGACATTGTTTAGGTCGGGAGTAATTGGTCAAGTTAAGAGGTGTTGTTTTTTTCTCATACGAGTTCAAGCTGAGCAACGTCTGATGTTTTTCCTAATTAATTTGCATACAATGCTGATATCATCAGTTAAACTTTTCCTATTTGTTGAGTACCTGCCTATTTGAACTTATAGCTAATCAATCTAACGGTAATTATTGGAACCCTTTGCTGGCCCCTACACAACCGCCTACATTATCGATGAGCTTTATAGGGTGATAGATGTTTGATTGGTAGTCTGACAAGCAAGTTTTAGAATGAATGATAGTGAAAGAAATTGATGATAACTTGCTCTTGTTTTAGGAGGAACAGAAATAAAAAGCGTAAAAATACAGCTGCTGTTTGTTGTTATTTTACCAGCCCTTCTCCTACACTCTGCCAAAGATCATACTCCACTGTTCTATGTCCCTCTTTGTTATGTTACCAGCCCTCCTCCCACACACTGCCAAAGATCATACTCCACTGTTCTATGTCTGTCTTTGTTATGTTACCAGCCCTCCCCCCCACACACTGCCAAAGATCATACTCCACTGTTCTATGTCCGTCTTTGTTATGTTCCCAGCCCTTCTCCCACACACTGCCAAAGATCATACTCAACTGTTCTATGTCTGTCTTTGTTATGTTTCCAGCCCATCCCCCACACACTGCCAAAGATCATACTCCACTGTTCTATGTCTGTCTTTGTTATGTTACCAGCCTTCCTCCCACACACTGCCAAAGATCCTACTCCACTGTTCTATGTCTGTCTTTGTTATGTTACCAGCCTTCCTCCCACACACTGCCAAAGATCCTTCTCCACTGTTCTATGTCTGTCTTTGTTATTTTACCAGCCTTCCTCCCAAACACTGCCAAAGATCCTACTCCACTGTTCTATGTCTGTCTTTGTTATTTTACCAGCCTTCCTCCCAAACACTGCCAAAGATCCTACTCCACTGTTCTATGTCTGTCTTTGTTATTTTACCAGCCTTCCTCCCAAACACTGCCAAAGATCCTACTCCACTGTTCTATGTCTGTCTTTGTTATGTTTCCAGCCCATCCCCCACACACTGCCAAAGATCATACTCCCCTGTTCTATGTCTGTCTTTGTTATGTTACCTGCCCTCCCCCCACACACTGCCAAAGATCATACTCCACTGTTCTATGTATGTCTTTGTTATGTTACCAGCCCCCCTCCCACACACTGCCAAAGATCATACTCCCCTGTTCTATGTCTGTCTTTGTTATGTTACCAGCCTTCCTCCCACCCACTGCCAAAGATCCTACTCCACTGTTCTATGTCTGTCTTTGTTATGTTTCCAGCCCATCCCCCACACACTGCCAAAGATCATACTCCGCTGTTCTATGTCTGTCTTTGTTATGTTACCAGCCTTCCTCCCACACACTGCCAAAGATCCTTCTCCACTGTTCTATGTCTGTCTTTGTTATGTTACCAGCCCTCCCCCCACCAGATGGCAAAGATCATACTCCACTGTTCTATGTCTGTCTTTGTTATGTTACCTGCCCTCCCCCCACACACTGCCAAAGATCATACTCCACTGTTCTATGTCAGTCTTTGTTATGTTACCAGCCCTTGTCTCACACACTGCCAAAGATCATACTTCACTGTTCTATGTCCGTCTTTGTTATGTTACCAGCCCTCCCCCCACACACTGCCAAAGATCATACTTCTATGTCCGTCTGTACATACTCTACGGGGAAAAAAATAAAAAATGGCGCACATGACCAGCAAGGTCAGTTACCAGCCCTCCTCCCACACACTGCCGAAGATCATACTCCACTGTTCTATGTCTGACTTTGTTATTTTACCAGCCCTCCTCCCACACACTGCCAAAGATCATACTCCACTGTTCTATGTCTGTCTTTGTTATTTTACCAGCCCTCCTCCCACACACTGCCAAAGATCATACTTCTATGTCCGTCTGTACATACTCTACGGGGAAAAAAATAAAAAATGGCGCACATGACCAGCAAGGTCATATGATTAACATTTATGAAAATGGTACGCGAGAGACATCTCTGAATATATCTCTGGTAAGGGTGGTTTTTAGGTAAGTAGACTAGTTGATGTCCATCAAAAGAATGGCTCAGCAGTGTAACACTAAAATTGACTGGTTTTGAAGTCGGGCGTCTCACTCCTCTGTAATATTCATGGACAGTATTAGCCTAGCGATTGGTCAGTATTTAGCTCGCTGGGCCTTAAGGACGAAGGTGAACTTATCCTATACCATGCCATCTGTTGTCCACCCAGCAACAATTTCTTTTATCGGATGACTTTTTCTGAAACACTGATTGGATATTAACCAAAATTTGACTGAAGTGGTCAGGTTTCAAATTATACAAATAATAGGCTGACCCCCAGGTGGCTAAGGGACAGGGTCAAAAAGGAGGTAACTTAGCTGTTTTGCTTCAAACAACCTCCAAAACTATGTGATGGTCATTAGCAGTATTTGGTTGGAAATGTGCTCCGGTAGAGGGGATTCAAAATTTACCAATTGTGGAGCTAAAAAGGGGATATAGCTTGGAAATGGTGGAAATGCCCACCCTATAACCATTGCTGGGTATAAAATGAAGAATATCCCTATGCTACTGGAATGTCTCATAAGAGTCTTGCCCCACCCATGGAGACTTAGTCCTGGGGACAAGAGTTGATTAATATAAGTTGAAATAACTTGTTTCATAAGTGTTGTAAAATAAAGTGACCCTGTGGTCTGGCTACGACCTTAAATGCACAGTTTCCTAGTCACAGCATAGCATGAGATACCAGCCCCACATCCTCAGTATAGAGACCATTACACATATGCTAACAGGATGGCCCTGGGGTTTTACCCCATCCTTGAAGACTTATTCCATGGGTTGTAACCTCCATATGGTTGATATCCCCTCCATATAAACATATTCATGTACAATTGATGGGTATACAGTTTGAATACACCTATGCTATCAGGATGGTCTGGGGTCTAGCCCTACTTTTGTAAACTTAGACCCTAGCTGGGTCATAACTGTGAAAAGTTCATAACAATATATAAAAAAGCTTGGCAAAAAGAGACAAACAGCCATGGTATTAGAATTGACTCTGGGGTGTGGCTACACCCCTAGAGACTTATATAGTTTCTGGGTCTCAACATGGAGAACAGTTGAAATCCCCATCCTATAACCATAGACTTGTATACAATTGCTGGGTGTAATGAGATGAAAACACATATGCTACAATATACCAGGATGGCCTCAGGGTCTCACCCCACCCTTTAAGACTAAGTATCTGGGTCATACTTTAAAAAGGGTTGAGGTCCCAACCCCATAACCATATATACAATTCCTGGCATAAAGTGACAAACAATATTATGATCTTAGCATAACCCTGTAGTCTGGTCACACCCCTAGGGACTTCTAGTTTCTGGGTCACATCATATATAAGTGTTGAGTATAAAGAGATGAATAAAACATACTACCACAACAGGCCTTGGGATCAGCCAAAACCCTTTTGGACTTAGTCCCTTGATCATAACCAGGAAACACTTGAGAACCTTTCCCCCTCCTTCCGGCTATCCCTACATGTGCTGAGCATGGAGATTTTGATACATATACATGTATGCTGCAAGGATTGGCCTATGCAGAGACGTATACTGTATTATACGTCTCTGGCCTATGGAACTGGCCCTATTCCTATGATCTTACTTACCATACTACTTAAATGAGACTATTTTCCTATGATTGTTTAGAAATCCAGGTGAGTGATACAGATCCTGGTGGCCTCTTGTTTTAAACCTGAAACCAATATCAAATATAGCTATAAATTCTGCGTTCCTTCGATTTCATGACATACAAAGTGTACCAGGGGCGCAGAGAACGTAAGTCATGGGCTCAAAGAACGTACGTCAAGGGCTCGGAGAACGTATGTCATGGGCTCAAAGAGCGTACGTCAGGGGCTCAGAGAACGTAAGTCATGGGCTCAAAGAACGTACGTCAGGGGCTCAGAGAACATAAATCAGGGGCGCAGAGAACGTAGGTGAGCGTAAACCCTGGAATTTCGAAGATTCGAGTTTATGTATTTAAAGAGGAGACAAAACACGTGTTACTGATTAGTTGAAATGTCATTTAAAGAGTCTGTATTATATATGTGAAGTCAGGGGCGGGTCCAGGTGAGGGCGTAATGGGCGTACCCCCCCCCCACCCCCCTTTTCAAAAACACACACACAAAAACTAACCTAATCTGCTAATATTGTATTGAATATGGNATCACAATTATTTTATGTTTTTTAGCAAAAAAAAGGTCCAAAATGTTTTTCCCTTCGCTCCGCTCGACAAAAGATTTGATTCTACGCCCCCTCTTTCAAATATCATAGAAACGCCCCTGAAAGTATTCATTGAAATGCTGTTTTAATGAAGCCTATATAACTATTATTTGATATAGATTTAACGACTCATTGAATAGCTAAAGATTTCTGTATTAAACTATTTAGATCCAGCGGACAATATTATATGTATCCAATGTATTGTCTGGTCATACCAGTGCATACGTCATTCATTGTGTTCCTGAGCCGTTGGACACTAAACCGAAAGTGTCTCGGCAGTAAACCGAGAGGTTCGTTTACGAGGTCCTGGGTTGGTTTTTCCTATAAAATTTATAATTAAAGCAGCCTTGGCATTGCGACTGTGTAATATTACAGAGTGAAAATTTCCATCTTCAGATGCCAGGAACATTGCTCCTTGGGTGATTTAATTTGATCAATATCTCTATCATCGACAATGGTTATTGATTTATCGTGCAGTTTAATGGAGGTTTAGATTGAATCCTATTGTATTTTAATACAATACTTAGGTTGTAACGGTACCGTGTGTATGATATATATAAGGACTTCTCCCTAATCAACTACCGTCCCTAAACACTACAGTGTTGCGTATAAAACACTTTCGTCATCTTCCTGTTCGTACACGTGTGACGCAAGACAACGCCAGTGTTGCTGTATACGCAATACATTAACTTCTATAAATAGACACACGTGATGTAACGTACGGTGTGTTAGGGAAAACCCAGACAGTATTGTTGTCTGTAAACATTCAAGAGAGAAATTTAAATGTAAGTACATGAATTTTCATTTGTATTAGTCTTGTATTAGTCTTGCAGTAATTTGATTTTATAACCAATCGTAAATACCATTTCGTAACTTATTTATCGAAGTCTTTCGATGGTGCTTATAGTTATAAACAATATACTATTCAATAACACAATATATTTGGTATGGGAAAAAGTTTATTCCATAAAGTTGATTAGAACATTCCATAAATTTTATAAAATTTGCACGTAGAAAATTCTATAAACTCTATAAGATTTGTACGTAGAACATTCTATAAATTTTACAAAAAATGTACGTAGAACATACTATACACGTTATAAGATTTGCACGTAGAACATTCTATAAATTTTATAAGATTTGTACGCAGAACTCTCTATACACTTTATATGATTCGTATGTGGATATAAACTTTGTAATATTTGCACGTAGAACATTCTATACACGTTATAAGAATTGCACGTAGAATATTCTATAAACTCTATAAGAATTGTACTTAGAATATTCTATAAACTAAAGCTCGTGTCTTTTGTAACTTTTGAAAATTAACTTACTCGAGTGAAATAAATACCATATTCAACAACCACTCGTTGTGTAACCTCTATGTATTGGTTTACTCGTGCGAAGTGTAACGGACGTGTCCATCTAACAACGCCATGTAATCCAGCACAGCACTTAATAGGGCAATAGGCGCACCAAGTGTCACAGGGAGTCAACGCTCGCCAGTACATTAATAGGATATCCGGGTATTGTATCGTCACTTCACTCGTGATATAATGACACAGAGATTACGTATATGTATACATGGGGTATTTATAAATATATAAGGTGTTTGTTCACAGGAAAATTATAACACATTAACCTTATCACAGCTTACGTTCACATCTCTAAATGGTTTTGTTGTTTGTTTTCTAGATACAAAAAAAAAAAAAAATGAAATGAAGTGAATCTGAGGAAAATACAAAGAAGGATGGTAATTGAGTGTTCCTGCGGAAACGACCAGACAGAGGATCTCCACGACTACGGACAATCAGGTGTGTTTTGCAAACGTTGTAAAACAGAATGGCTATCCGATGAATCTACCAACCCAGGCCCGAATTCTGTAAGAAATGACCTAGGAGTGCCACGTCTTCGGGTATACAGATCTCGACATGTTTGTCGGTATGGGCTACATGAAAACAATGTTCTGCTTGTACAGAGTTCGCGTAGGCGTATATTTGACCTCAGTGAGCTGGATGTCGGGGACCACATCGCGTTCAGCCGTCCTTATGTTGTATGGCACCATTGCATCGTGACTCGGGTTGATGCCAACGACAGTACGCTCCAGGTCATCAACTGGCAGACGGATAACGGCAGCATACGTATCAAAGAGCAACTCCTCGACGTTTCTAAGGAATACGGAGATCTGTACAAGATCGACTACACCCGAGATGTACAGGTGTCTAACCCTTCACGTCTCGTAATAGCTAGAGCCAGATCGAGGCTGATGGAAACGGGTTATCACATATTCCATGACAATTGCGAGTCATTCGCTACATTTTGCAAAACGGGCATCAGCAAAAGTCACCAGTATATTTGGCTGGTCGCTAAGGCTTGGGAGTGGCTGATACACGTTAACGTAACGGTAATCAAGACAGGTTTATCTATTCTGGCCAGGCTTGCCTCCAAAGCTGTTGGACCAGTAGTGGTTGTGATTGTCGAATGTCTCATTCTTTCTTCGGATATCGCAAAGGCGTACAGGGAGCGAAGAAATGGCAATTTGTCTCGTAACGAGTACGCAAAAGTCGCCATTAGGCGAATGGTAGAAGGAATCGTAACAGTGGCTTTAACGATAGGCGGAATATTTGTGGCTATAACCATTTGTCATACCGGGATCATCATACCCTGCTTAGTGGCAGGCGCTTGTGGAATGATTGGGATGACCTGCGGCAAAGTTGGCGGTACCTTCCTCGGAAACTTCATCGGAAGGGCAATAACCACGTGCTTCAAGACGGATGACAGAGTGGTGGACAAAATAACTGACCTGGTACCAGGAGATCACGTGGTCATGTCAAGGACGGCTTTACATCCACGTTGCCATGGTATTCTGGTTGAACACGACTGCCATGCAAACATCAGGATAATTCGGAACACGTTCAAATACGGCGTTGTAGACGAATGGTTGCCTTTTGAAAAACCACTATATCTGGTGACGCACATAAAGGAAAAATGCTTTCCGAATGAGACGGTGGTCAGAAGAGCAAAAGGTCAGTTAGGGGCAAGGCGTTATAACATTGCTACTCACAATTGTAAGACTTTTGCAAATTGGTGCAAAAGACGTCATTAAAAACACACAACGGTGATTTAATTGAAGCACCTTCGTATAAGGGATGCATTGTGGGAGCCAAGCTTTCCTCCGTGTCTACTTGGAAGGAAAAAAACATTTTTGAATCCCTTCTGACTTGTTGAACACACATGTTATTGGCCTGATTGCTATGGTCAGTCGCTCTGAATGTCCCCACTATATATTGGTACCATGTATAACGGTAATGCACTATTTACGATAGGTATCAATACATGTAGGAAGAGTGGAATGTTTTTTATTCTACTTTGGGGGTTACTGTCAATTTCACCAACAGACGTGAGCTCCACAAATAATGCTGTTAGAATAGTGGGATATGTACTTCTCCATGTATTCGTTAAGCCTCTAGCTATGGATGATGTCACTTTTAAACCACCAAATAAGTGTATGTCGAAAAGCGCTCCAAGTGTTCCCGCGAGATGAAAATGTAAAAAGTGGGTAACAGAAACTTAAAAAAAGAAAGAGACATATATTTTTGGAGGAAACGGAGATTGCGTTTGTGTAGTTATAACAGGTTAGTGATAGATATAATTTTGTCCACTATGTCTGGTCTTGTTGTAGTGTCTTGTCCTCCTTTCGTATAGGAGCTGTCCAGGGATCCTGGAGAGTGATTGGTATATCATATATGGATTAAAAAGTCATAAAAAACACTATTTGGGTTGGTCCATTAAAATTCACGATATGGGAGTTAAGTATTGCGTGCAAAGGGCGACGACTCCCACCGAGAGGAAGAGTCACCTGACAATGTCTTATTTAGGTCTCCCAAACCTTCTGTTTGGAAATTTGTGATTATCGTTTTGTTTGGTTTAAGAAATTTAGTGATGTGACATTACGTGAACCCAGGGTTCCTTTAAAAAACGCCATGTTTCTTTAATTGCGCAACGTAGATCAAGGGATTAAGACAGTTGTTTAAACGTCTATACCCTTTCCCATACATTCACAATACAGTATATGATAACCAAGGAAACGGGCATGCTATTAAATTGAACAGTATTTGAAATCTATTGCTGGATTTGATGACTTTTTGCATGTGTATAAAAGTGTTGTGTGTTCAGTTGTGAATTTCCAAAATAAATAGCTTTTATTTAAAATACTTGATATTTGAGCATCATATATTTATTAACAACATTGTACCGGAAGTCTCCGTTGGGAGTCGTTTTTGTTTGTCTACATTGGACGAAATAATTTATAAGATTGTTGATTTTTAGAATGCTTAACAAAATATTTCAGTGTTAAATAGGTTTAAAGTAATACAAATTATCATAAGTTAATTTTTCGTTTTCATTCCCAATGCCGTTTCCATTCGGATAATTTCTATATATTACCCACCGTTGAAATCATAGGGTTTCGCTCTCAAAACGACACCATTTTTTTGCCTCAATGAAGATTTATTTATCTATAGCGCCACCATTGGATTTATACATATCGCCCAGCTATGGATTAAACGTGACTGTGGGGAAATGTTCAAAATAGTACTGCTGTTGAACTTTTGGCTGAAAATGTAACAATCACATTTGTTTCTAATTTATTTATTTGATGTTCAGTTATCTGTTTTATGAATATGTTGCAATTTTTATATGTTTGTTAATGAATAAATGACTTCTAAATCATATAATGTTAGTACGTGTTGTCCATCTATATAACACTGTTTCAAATAAGATATATGTGTGGATACAGGACGAGTCAGTATAAGATATATGTGTGGATACAGGACGAGTCAATATAAAATATATGTGTGGATACATGACGAGTTCAAATAAGATATATGTGTGGATACATGACGAGTTCAAATAAGATATATGTGTGGATACATGACGAGTTCAAATAAGATATATGTGTGGATACATGACGAGTTCAAATAAGATATATGTGTGGATACATGACGAGTTCAAATAAGATATATGTGTGGATACATGACGAGTTCAAATAAGATATATGTGTGGATACATGACGAGTTCAAATAAGATATATGTGTGGATACATGACGAGTTCAAATAAGATATATGTGTGGATACATGACGAGTTCAAATAAGATATATGTGTGGATACATGACGAGTTCAAATAAGATATATGTGTGGATACATGACGAGTTCAAATAAGATATATGTGTGGATACATGACGAGTTCAAATAAGATATATGTGTGGATACATGACGAGTTCAAATAAGATATATGTGTGGATACATGACGAGTTCAAATAAGATATATGTGTGGATACATGACGAGTTCAAATAAGATATATGTGTGGATACATGACGAGTTCAAATAAGATATATGTGTGGATACATGACGAGTTCAAATAAGATATATGTGTGGATACATGACGAGTTCAAATAAGATATATGTGTGGATACATGACGAGTTCAAATAAGATATATGTGTGGATACATGACGAGTTCAAATAAGATATATGTGTGGATACAGGACGAGTCAGTATAAGATATATGTGTGGATACAGGACGAGTCAATATAAAATATATGTGTGGATACATGACGAGTTCAAATAAGATATATGTGTGGATACATGACGAGTTCAAATAAGATATATGTGTGGATACAGGACGAGTCAGTATAAGATATATGTGTGGATACAGGACGAGTCAATATAAAATATATGTGTGGATACATGACGAGTTCAAATAAGATATATATGTGTGGATACAGGACGAGTCAATATAAAATATATGTGTGGATACAGGACGAGTCAATATAAAATATATGTGTGGATACAGGACGAGTCAATATAAGATATATATGTAGATACAGGACGGGTTCATACAGGATATATGTAAATACAGCACGAGTCCACACAGAATCTGACTGGATATAGGACGAGTCCATACAGGATATTTGTAGATTATAGGACGGGTTCATACAGGGTATGTATATATACAGGACGGCTTCATACAGGATATTTGAAAATACAGCACGAGTCCACACAGAATATATGGTATATATATGGAAAAACAAAATTTTGACACAGCGAAATTAAGGCACTTTACTGTAACAAGTATGCATTACAGGACCAACATTAACCTCTGATAAACGGAGATACACTCCGATATACTGTTCATCGTTTGGTACCTGTTATTAGAAAATATAAGGGATACAGAGAATGCGTCGTTTGGGAAACGCTTACTTATAATAAATAGAAATACACAACATTTATATAGCGCCCTTTACAATACATAAATTATAGTATAATTATAGTAGATAATAAAGGCTTACAAATCAACATTATTCATTAGGTAAGAATACAATCATCTCAATATGCATGTAACTGAATATATAAAGGGTGGTGTGTGCAATTAAATATTGAAATTGGTAGGTATAACAATGTAGATAGGATTGAAAGAACATGTGCATACTGCAACAGTGGGGATATCGAAGATGAATTTCATTTTATATTAAAATGTGAATGTTTTTTAGATTTAAGAAAGCGTTTTATTAAGAAATATTACTATGAAAGACCTAGCATGTATACATTTATCCAACTTATGGAAACAGGGAACAAAAAACAGTTAACAAATTTAGCCAAATATATTAAACTGAGTAATAAGAAAAGAAAAGACTATGTACCTATATAAAGAGGGATGTCTCTCTACACTATACCAATGGGTATGTGAGTGTGTATTTGTGTGTGTGGGTGTATTTGTGGGGGTGTATATGGGTGCGAGTGATTGTATTGTTTATCCTTGTATATATGTGTATTTTGAACTGATGAGCCGTAAGGTTCAAGGTAATAAAGAACTGAACTGAACGCATGACGTCTGTACAGAGAGCCTAAAATGCAGATGTGAAGCAGTGGGTCTTTATATCATTCTTGAATTTTACGACGCACACCAGTGATTCTGTCTCCGACCGCAGTGACGTAACGTCAGATGTTGACGCACACTAGTGTAATAAACTTTTGACGTCATTTCTATTTAGATTTGACGTTTGTGACAAACGGTTGGCTTTGTAAAACATGTGAAGCCCATTTATTTTACATGCATATGGTCACGATTTGTATATGACAAGTGAAACCGATTTTGACAATGATCGAGTTGAACGTGAAGATAACGGTTAAGAAGTGAAAGAAAAATGTGATCAAATAACGCTAACCGTATAAGTACCATCTGCTTCCTTCATATCAACCACAATATGTAAGTTATAAAGCACATATTGATTAAGTACATAAAATAGCATACATATAATAAAATGATCCGTAATTTTATATTTTTGGTTGAAGCCCGAGAATGAAAGCGCGCTCAGATTATACTACATTGTATCATGACGTGATGTCATTTGCCATTAAGTGTTACATTGGCATTGGTTTTGTTACTCTCAGAGATATAACACTGTTCACGCATTCCAATAAATCAATTTGAAAAATCACATACAAGATTAAATTTCGCTCATTACATTTTCCACACAAGTTGCCTAAATGTTCTCCTTCAACTGTAATTTGTAATTGTGCAACCTGCTGTCCGTCAAAATGTATACAATGGCTACTTTGCCTCCATCCTCGATATTCCAGGGGTTAGGCTCACTTACGCTCTCTGTGCCTCTGGAATATGTCATGACAAAAACGAAGGCTCAGTGTGCGTCACCTTGTAGATGAGACGAGAAGACTAGTTTGATACTTTGATGTACATCAAAAGAATTGCTCGGTCGCGTAAAGGTAAAATTGACTGGCTTTGGTGTCGGGTATCGCTCCTCTGTACTTTATTTTGTACATTGTAATGTATCTGAGGTCTTCAAATGCCCAGGTATCGGCCTAGCGATTGGTCAGATTTTATTTCTACATGAGACTGATCAAATTGCTAGCCGCGTGCCTTCAATTTTGCTTTGACATATTCCAGGGGTTCAGAGAGCGTAAATGAACGTAACCCCTGGAGTATCGAGGATGCTTTGCCCCGCAAATCCTTGTATTTCGATGTGTTCACCAGGTCAAAATATAGGCCTTCTACCACCTCCGACCCACACTGGAAAGAGTTTCCCAGTCATCTTCAGTACGTTCATCCGATAGTAATCACTGGTTACGTCGTTGGTGGACACAGGTATGATTTCTCCTGTCGTAAAGAAGTTTCTTATGCTAGTGTCCTTATTTTGTTTACGACAGATGATTATAAATAGGCGGTAGGATTGATATTTGTGACAGGGGAGTTGGATCGGTCCATGTGGCTGGCAGGTGACAATAGCCGTGCAGGATTGATATATGTTGCAGAATATGACAAAAGTCGAAGGGGTTGATATCATTGTGACAGGAGGGCGACAATAGTCGATGGGGTTATGACAGAAGGATGACAATACTGAGTCGGTAGTATTGATATCATTGTGACAGGAGGTTGACAATAGTCAGTGGGGTTTGTATCATTGTGATAGAAGGGTGACAATAGTCAGTGGGGTTGATATCATTGTGACAGGAGGTTGACAATAGTCAGTGGGGGCAGAAGGGTGACAATAGTCAGTGGGGTTGATATCATTGTGACAGGAGGTTGACAATAGTCAGTGGGGGCAGAAGGGTGACAATAGTCAGTGGGGTTGATATCATTGTGACAGGAGGTTGACAATAGTCAGTGGGGGCAGAAGGGTGACAATAGTCAGTGGGGTTGATATCATTGTGACAGGAGGTTGACAATAGTCAGTGGGGGCAGAAGGGTGACAATAGTCAGTGGGGTTGATATCATTGTGACAGGAGGTTGACAATAGTCAGTGGGGGCAGAAGGGTGACAATAGTCAGTGGGGTTGATATCATTGTGACAGGAGGTTGACAATAGTCAGTGGGGGCAGAAGGGTGACAATAGTCAGTGGGGTTGATATCATTGTGACAGGAGGTTGACAATAGTCAGTGGGGGCAGAAGGGTGACAATAGTCAGTGGGGTTGATATCATTGTGACAGGAGGTTGACAATAGTCAGTGGGGGCAGAAGGGTGACAATAGTCAGTGGGGTTGATATCATTGTGACAGGAGGTTGACAATAGTCAGTGGGGGCAGAAGGGTGACAATAGTCAGTGGGGTTGATATCATTGTGACAGGAGGTTGACAATAGTCAGTGGGGGCAGAAGGGTGACAATAGTCAGTGGGGTTGATATCATTGTGACAGGAGG